AAGTCTGGACAGTATGTTTGGGTTGAGTGTCGTGGCAGGCTGCATGTCGAACCCGGAAAAGGACGAAAAGCAATTATGTTGAGTGGAAGAGCTAAGGAGATGTCGATGCTGCAGTGGTCTGCTATTTTGTCCGCAGGTGGTGTCTCTCACCCTCGGTCGGTAATCAAGTGGGTAACTGAGGACGGGAAGACAAGGCCGGTAGAGACAGATGTGTTCACAGAATTTTGGGGGACCATCTCACGAAAAGGCTCCTTGCTCGTTATTGGGAAGGGTGTTGTGGACGTGCTAGGGTGGGATGAGTCGCACCTTATTGGACGACAGATATGGAAATTTCTGGTAGGTGAGGATGCGCGTCGAAAGGTCAGCGAAGAGCTAGCTCATATGGGGTGTGCAATGGGTACGCGGGATGCTACAGGAACTTTGCCCAGGAAGATATACTGCAAAATGACCCGCCAAGATGGATCTCCAGTTGACGTTGAATTGGTATTATATCCATCCGCTATTGATTCCTACATTTTGCACTCCGCTCAGACAATCTCCCCCGCCCCTGTCATCTATCAGATCAAGTTATATGATGCGAGTAGTAGTACGCTCTCGTCCTCGCCTGGTTCCGAGTCATCGGCAGCGCCGACACCAATGATCATGCATCCACTAACGGACAATGTGTTCAAGGATCTCGAGATTAGCAGGAATTCGAGCTGGCAGTACGAGTTACAGCAGCTGAGGTTTGCAAATGAGCGGTTGAAGGAGGAGATAAAGGCTATTGAGGGCGATCAGCCTTCGCCTGCTCCTCATAAACAGCATGCACTTTCGTCTTCTCCGCAAGGCTCACATGAGCACTCACCCACAGCATCTACCTCGCACCATCACATAAATCGTACCCCCGATACTATGGCCTCACCGGCTGCATTGAAAAGCTACGATCATCACCTCCATCAGGGCATGCCATCGATGCCTTTCAATTCTCCGCATGTAATGACCGTGCATCCTTCATCTCCCCAGTACAATCCCCATGTCCAGCATGTCCCCCAGCATGTCCAGCCTCAGGCGTGGTCACCATCCAGCCGTGCTGTATCAATGCCAATGCCTTTTGTTTCTCCCGGAGCGTATGATGCGCCCTCCAGTGTACCGCTGAAAAGGTCATGGGATGGTTCGACCCGAAATGGTAATAGATTGATATTGTAACTCGAGGATTCTCCAGCTCATCGCTATTCGAACACGGTAAAACTACACTTTTCGGATCTTCTTTTTGTCACCTGTTGTCAATGATGACCTCCATGCTTTTGTTCTTGGTTTTTCTGTTTCTGCATCGGACAAAATGCAGTATATATTTTATCGCTCTCGCACTCTATCTGCATCGGACAATATGCAGTATATATTCCATCACAAGTTGTACTACTACTTTTTCATCCTCAGTATCACGTCCCCATTGTAATCTTTAGTCATCGTGTTTTACGCTATTAGTATCCTTAATGGTTAACTGCTGGATCTATTTTTCTTGGTCACGGCGTGAGTTATACGGGTGATATTTTTGCAACTCGGTCTTGAATTGTACCACTGTTCGCGATTTCAAGAGTAAAGTCATGTTATAGATGGTTCCATGATGGTATAGATATATAATGTTGTAATGAAGAGTCATTCAAAAAAGTCATTCAAACCAAACATGACTACCAGCTGTTTTGGTCCAGATAATCATCTTCACCATTGCCTTCCGATCCGTATCTTCCCACTCTTTGAAAGGTATCCTCCGTCTCTTGTCGCCCACGGTTGTTATTCCTCCCAGTGGCCCTAGGAATCGCAGTTGGAACACTGTTATCATCGTAGACGGCTCTTCCAGACATATATGCAGCGTACGGGTTTCTGCCTAATCTTCCTCGTCTCCCTCTAGACCCTGCGACTCCCTTGAATTGATCACCTCTCGTTGGGCCAAGACGATTATCGCCCAAATGATAGTCGTTACCGTAATTCCACCTCTGCGAGTGGTCGTTTACCACAGAGCTGGTTTGGTCTCCCGAGACGTAGGTAAACTTTATGGCTCCACCACCAAGTTCATCTCCAACACGTTCTTGTTCGAGATCGGAAGTCGTTTCAGGGGTACTAGAACCCGTGGATTTATTTTCTTCGGTAGATTTTGCTGAAATCGGGGATTTAGACCTGGAGATGGACTTGGTGGCCCCCGTTCGGATTGTAGCTCCTGCAAAAGAGAAGACTGTGGGGAAGGCAACAGATCCAAGTCCGTTATCTTCCGGTCGAGTTTCTGCGTGCAGAGGCCCTGATGCTGGTCCCGATACGTGACGGTCTGGAGCAGAAATATTTCCTGCTGTAGAAATCAAAGGAGAAGAAGAAGTCAACAAGCGTTGATGGATAACGTTTTGCTGAGCTTCAACCCTCGATAGTACGTGTTGGATCGTTATGTTTGCCTGCAACTGATGAAGAATTATAATGCGAGGCGACTTGGCACATTCAAGGAGTAAACGCACAGTAAATAGATCTAAAGCACTCTTTAGCTGGCCTTGATACACTGCTACCTTTCCGGCGTCTGCACTCGCGGTCAGAAATCTCACAACTGAATTTCGAGAGGCAGCGTGTTTGGCAAAGCGGGATATTTCCTTGAGTGTGCTAGAATTACCGAAATCGGGTGCAAAGGAAGAGAAGAACGCAATCAGATATGGATAGTAAGACCGATGGGACTTACTAGCAAAGTTTCTCCAGGTTGCCTTCAAGCTGCGGGTTCAATCTCTCTCTTGTCACCTCGGCTCCTTCCTGTTCATTCTTCTCATTCGCTTCCTTGCTTTCATCTACTCGATCCACTACACCCTCCATCCTTGTGGCGTCTCTCACTCCTGTGGCCTCATGTTCCGATCCATGAGTCAAACCGCGTTTCGAATTAGGTATCGATCCATGCGGACCCTTCGCGCTGCTATCCTTCCCCTCTTTCTTCAGACCGCTCTCCTGGAAGGTATCTGCGTGCGGCTGCCTCTGTTGTCGTAATAACTCATCGCAAGTCGTTGTTACCGTGTACACCAGTGAACATGCGTCTTCTCCCAATGATAGAAATGAAGATTTGGTGTTTTTGGTAGCCTAGCAAAATTTAGAGGATATACTCGATGGTAAAAACCATGCCTACCTGAACGGCGTTCCAAATTCCAATCGCCAACCCTGCTGCTTCACCCAGGTATGGTACAGGTGCTAGCGAAGCGGCGTCTTGGAGGGTGGCGAGAATTAGACCAGTAGCTCCTGAAAGAGCCGAGAAAATCTCCTCTCGTCTTTCTGTTTCGTCGTGCATGGACAGATTCGTGGATGCCAAGTTATTTTTCCGGTCAAGCGAGGAGGATTGTGGTTCTCGGGTTGGAATATGGAATAGTCCGCCAGTAAAGCTGCTTTTAACAGAGTTGTATGATCGCCACTTCATTAACTAGTTGACAAGTTCGTTTGTCGTGGCCTGATATTCGTTGAGGGTACAAATGTAGGAATTTGGGGTCAGTCTGCGCTGCAACAAGTGAAAGCAACAATGGTAGTCAGAGGCAAAGGGTGTGATAAGATAAATTCGGACAATGAAATACTGGCGAAGGAACGCGGCAACGGCCTACCAAGCAAACAACAAAGACCTTTGAATTTTGACGATTGAAGAACTTGAACTTCTCTTGGAATCCCATTCAAGACGATTTTGTTCTTTGAAACCGGACACTACGCTAGAGACTCTTCCGAGTCATAATCTGGGTATGTAGTAAGCACTCAAATCTCCGATAAAAAAGTATCAATCTGTACGATATCACTTGCTTTGACATTGCCAATTATATTTCTCTCTACGTATGGAGTTACCTTGAAGTCGACAACTCTCCCTCATAGACTTATTTAGATCCGGATATCGACCCACAAAACACACATCAAGTACCGGTGTTCCGAGTCCTGGAGTAATAAGCTCAGTGACGGCTGGTCCTTATGGTGGTTTCTCGTGAGAATCTTTGTTTGAAATGGCAATAAGGATGATTATATTTGGAGTGTCAAAGCGTGCGTCACTGCGTGCTCTACTACCTCGCAATGCGCGTCTCCTTTGTCCGATGCTCTCGTCAAGTATGTTACCTGCCGCTGGTTGCAATCGATGGGTATGATTCTGCAGCCTCAGTCCGCGAAGTAGAGGGATGCCCCTGATATATATACGTGTTATCACCGTCCTACCGATCCTTCAGCTTCAACGTTCAACGTTCTACTGTGGAGTCTAGACTTGCGGTTACTACAACCCTCGCAAGAGGAACGGTACCTCAACTGGGTTATCGTTGAAGATATCACGGAAAGGACACACTGTATAAGGTGTTACCCTAACTAACCTTGCTAATCTCTTTGAAGTTCTATATACACACGGGCCGTCAGTACTACTTGTCCAACCGATCATACAACTATGCCAAATCACTATCCAGCACCGGTTGCGAGACCTTGAGAAGGGATGGTTCTTATGTCGTTACAGGACCCATACCTGCTACGCGATTGGCGTGGCCCATGCTCGCATATGACCTCTGATCGTTGAATAGCGTGTATACTGCATGGCTTGATCTCGACTTGATCTCGACACCTTGGGCGGAGTAAGCATTCCAGGGTATCAGTTAGGTAGGTTTACCTTCATTGAAGTCTGCTGTAACATGCACTTTGAAGGTGGCAGTAGTACTTAGCCAAGCACAGGCCAAACATTTTCAGGCTCATCGAATGAAGCACCGCAGACTACTATCAAGCGGCTTCTCATTAGTGATCTAAGGGCGATACACACGGTATAGATAAAAATTCTGCTCGCAGAATGGCGCACTGAAATTGTACGATAAGATAAGATATTCTTCTATGGTTTATCATACATTTCAGTTACATTTCATGCAGACTGAAAACACTGATTATGCTTATTTGGATAATCAGCTTTCTTTCAGTTCACAATCTGCGAGCAGATTTATGTATCTTCCGGTGTGATATCTGAGCGCATTTCAAAATGTCAAAATTAAAACAAAACGTAAACTAGCCCACCGCGAGGGTCGAACTCGCAGCCTTCAGATAAGAAGTGACTGATGCAGCACACCGCCTTAAAAGTCTGACGCTCTATCCGATTGAGCTAGGCGGGCTTGGTTAATGAATGTAAGACGAGCATAACAGCTAACTAGTAAGTATCCTCTTCTTGCTTTGTTGCATCTAAGGCGAAGTCTAAGGCGCAGGAAACTAGTACATAGTAGTTCTGGTCTGCGGTGTTACGCAATGTGGGATACGTGAAGTGAAGGGAACGCTGGTTCTTATAGCGCAAGGTCGCATTGATTATGGTGTACATGCCTGTTTTACATTCTACTTACACATCTCTATTATCTTGTACAAAGTCCAGTGCTTCATCGCCCACCATTATCACATCCTGTTCCCGAACAGGCTTAGGTTCTGGTACTGGTGTAGGTGCTTTATCTGCGAGAGGATCATGGTTCCTTAGTCTCATTTCCACCAGAAACTCCTTATCTCTGACCGCCTGCGACCATGACGCCAACATAGCACGGAGAATAAGGAATGTGTGCGTGAAGCCTGCTAAACAAAACAGGCTTGAATACACGTATGTGACTACCTTTGTTGTCAGTCTCCAATGTCATGAAAATGGAAGATGCAATACGCACAAAGAAATCTTTTGTCAACATGGCGCCCCACAAAGGGAAAGAAAATGTTGGCGGAATAGACAAGGAGCGGTGGTAACAGTATCATGCCAGTCAGGCCTCCAGCTACAGGCCCAATAACGTCTTTAGTTGCAGAGATTGGGTCAGGATGTGTCCAACCGTTGCGCTTGATCTGAACAAATTGATTAGTTTGGTGCAAAAACATAAAAACGATAACATACCGTCTGAATGGCTCTTGAGATAGGGTTATTTGCTTGTCTGCGAGTGACTCGCATGGCAATTTTCATGTAAAGAAGGCCGGTGGCCCAACAGTCTAAGACTCGGATCCTTGGTACAGGGATATCAGGACTCAAGTGGAGCTTGAAAGGAAGTATGAGATAAAGTTCGACGACAATGCCTACCAGGGCAGGTAGTACAAAGCCCAAGAACATGGACATGTAAGTCACTTTGACAAGCCACAGTGAACCACGTTTGACTACAAGCCACCACAGTGATGCTCGAGGGCCTTCAGTTCCCCATCTCTGCCTTCGCTTGTCGAGGCGATCCACAGCTTTCCCTACAATCCAACAGGCCCAAAGCATGTAAAAGCCAGCGATAATAGAGTAACCATCGTGAACCTCGCGTCTACCATTGAAGATAATGTTGAAGAACCCTCGACCGAGAAGGACTGGTAACGCCAGACTTATGCCAAGACAAAGCGCCCCGAAACTCCACAGCAAGAATATGAAGAAGATCACCCGGTAACGGAAATATGGTGGGATATACACCACGGTAAAGTCGTCCTTGATGTTTCGCTTTGCTTTGATTGTCTCGGCGTCCTGTTTAGTCATGAGCGTCCTCCCAGCTTCGTCAACGGGTTCACCCGTAGCCAGAACTGCAACAGTGACAGGCATCTCTCGAGGGATAGCGATGTCATCTGTATTTGGAACGCGCCGAAAGGTACCGTCATAGTCAGAAACAAGTACAGGAGCATCAGCGGCGTCTTTGCTTGGTCCACGTATAATGCGAGATAGTGACCAATTCTTTGGAGTATACTCCTCCGCCCCGTGTCGTTTACCGAAGAAGTATGAGGTGAGACGGAGACGTCTCGCTAAACCCTTCCATATCACCAGCGCGATCCTTTTGAGAGTTTTACGTGGGCGAAAGTATGTCATCGTATATGGTAATGCGAGATTAAGGAATAGCAGATCGATCGGCACATTAGACAAAGGCTCTCTGTATATTTGCTGAGAAGACGAGGGAATGAGAATAAAAAGAATGGCACGGACCTGGTCTTCCACCTGAAAGGTAGCACGATATGTCTGCCAAGAACCAAGAGAGCAGCAACGCTACAGACGGTACAGACCACGACAGTGGCATACATGACGCCACTTATGGCAATTTTACGCAGTTGGACTAGAGCAGGCCTGTCAAGGATATCGCGAATGGGATGTAAATTTTGATCCTGTGGATCTTTGATAAACCACATTGCTCCAGGACGCATTACACTTCGACAACCTGAAAGTAAAACAGCAAAGGAATACCTGTTGGAGATATGCATAAGCATCGACAGTGAGTGAAAAACATGACGACGGACATGAACATTGTTCCAGCGACCCAGTGGTAGAAGACTGTAGTGAGGGGTGCTTGTGAGAGAAATTCCATCCTTGAAGCATATGAGGCACCCGGAAAGAGCCACAACGTGCAAATGTCCAGCACCACACCGCAACCCAAAGGAAACGTGAACAGTTCAATGAATATGAAAGACGCAACCTTTTATTAGAAAATCAATGGTAAGCCTAACTTGATAGCTAAAGATGGTGATGATACCAACCTTTAAAACAAGCAGTTGTTGGCGGACGGCGCTCCTGACTGCTCGGCCAGCAGTTTTAACATTACCAATGGTAAGAACATTCAAGTAAAGTGCCAGAATTGAAGCGACTATGCAATAGCCGAAAAGAACAGAGAATATTCGCTCCGCTGGGCCATCACCAACTGCAAGGTGAGTCCAAACTTCACCAAATCTTCCGTATCCGCTCCTAACCTCTTTTCCAAGAGGAGCAAAATAAGGCTCAGCGTAATCAATGAAAGTAGAAAAGGTTTGCGATGAGAAGGTAGGTTCCGAGATTACAGATTCTGGAATGGACGCAACAACTTCGTCTGGAGACACTCCAGTGAAACCGAGGATGCGAAATAGCGGCTCGACGGAACGCTGGACAACAGAGAACTACCATGGAATATGAGTTGTTGAGTCTACAAAGGAACGTGAGCCACATACCGTAGTTAAGCAAGATTCGCGAGCCTTAGTTGCACTAGCTTGTCCAAGAGACTCTGTAACAACCCGAATAGAAAGATCGAACATCCATTGTCCCACAGCTATAATGATCTGCAAGCAGGGTGGGAGTAGAAGATCTGTAACGAGATATGCGACTAAGTCGACCACTGGGTCGGTAATGATACGGATAGCGCGGATGGGAAGATGCAAAATGAACAAAAGTCGGCGAGGCTCGAGCTGAGAACGGTTAACGATGACAGGAAGTATCCAAAAGGGTCAAACTATACTCACCAACAGTAATGCGCTCGTTTTACCAAGGGTGTAAGGAACCCAAATGCCCAATCCGATGACAGTGTCCATAATGAAAATCATGAGAGCAGCGTTTTGCAAAAGACCATATATCGGGCCTCTCAAACCGATTGCTACAAAAAAAAAAAAAATGAACAATGTCAACTCGTAAGCTTCATATGAACGAGCAAACCTTCCATAGCTCCATCCATATCATCCTCAACTCCAGCTTCTATATCATCTACCATCAAGGCGTCATCCTCAGCAATATTGTCCGCAGCGCCTTGCCTAGGTTGGGGTTGAGGGCCTTGCGCTGGAGGCAAAGCAGCAGGATCATTACCATCAATAGCAACCATTCTCCTGAGACCAGGCCCTGCCTCAAAAGCAACGGCTGCTCGCCCAAGTTGGTTTTGTTGCCCGCCGCGTTGCCGTCTGGGGACCAGTGCAGGTATATCGTCAAATTCTTCCTCTTCTTCCTCTTCCTCATCATCATCCTCCTCCTCTTCTTCTTCTTCATCTACTGCAATGCCCACGACGTCGCCAATTTGAACCTGAGGCCCACCATCCTGAGCTACAACTTGTGCCGGAATCTCGGCTTCCGCATCGCTGTCTTCATCATCCGATTCATCCATCTCATCTGCGGTGCCATCCTGGAAGTATACCTCTAGATTCTCGACCAATCCGCGTTCACCCAAAGGCAAGAGATCAGCGCGTAATATCAGGCCATCCTCTCTGTCTTCGTCTTCATTTTGATTGGCGTCGTTGCCATCGAGCGTTTCGGAATCATCGTCCTCTTCGACACGTTGTTCGCCTACTGTATCCAACACAGCAGTAGATTGACCTGCGAAATAGTCGGTGTTTTCCAAATGGACCAACTCTTCTGGCGCTCGGTAAATAGCAAGGCTAGGAGATGCAGGTGGTGTTTTGACCATTGGAGTGGAGGATCCTGACGGATGAGAACCTAATGTCACCGAACTTGAATCGCCAGGAGTGCAAGCTAAAGTGTTAGGTAGTGGAGGACGACGGATCGGAGTTCCGGGTCTGGAAATACTGGCGTTGTATGGAGGTTCAGTAATGACTGATGAGGCGAGTGTATCCAAGGTTGGAGAAGGAGATGAAGACGGGGGAGATACGGAGGAAGTAAACGAGGCTTGACTCCCGAAACTTATTCCGTTAAAGCTAGAGTTAGTGGAAGTCGACGAGGTAGAAATATCTGATGTCTGGCTCCCTGAGCTTATCCCATTCGTTGAAGCACTGCACGTTTCGCTTTGCGGAGGCGGGAAAACAAATGAAAATGGTATGGATCCATTCGGTCGTTCAAGTGCCACACTAGGGAAAAACGAAGACGGTGGGGGAGGAGTATGAGGCGCCGTGCTACTTTCTGGAACCGGAAGTACCATCGCAGGGTCTGCTGGTCTGGGCTCTAGTTGTTTCCGTTTACTCTGGCGGGCTAATTGCAATCTTCTTGCAAAATTCCGTCTCTTCATCCTCTCCTGCCTTAAATCCCGATCTTCACTGTCATCCTTGTCCCCATCATCCCCGCCGTCTTCTTCCCTCTCTTTGCCTTTCTCAGACCTACGCTTCCTGGCTCTCATATGTGCAAGTCGGTCCAATTCTTCATCTTGTAACGCGCTTCGCGCAGGAGCAAACTCGACAGCTGAACGACCCAGTGCCAGTGCCCTCTGGTCCTTTTCTCTTTTTTCTTCTTCTGTCAAAGGTCCGTCGGCTCGGAGAGCATCCAAAGCCCTGACAGCTTCAATCTGACGGTGAGCCATGACAAGGCGCGCGTTGGCGTCCATGCGAGGAGCTGGTGGTAGACGAATGGCTGCATTGGCCGGAAGTAGTTCGGGACCCTCTTGAGCAGGTGGGACTTGTAAGATCTCCTGTGCAAGATTCTCATCATCATCAAATAACCCTGGCCTAGCATTTTGGG